CAGCAGAATTTTTTTTGTAGCCTTGGCCAGATCTGTGCCTTGCCACAATTCTGTCTCTGAGCTCTTCAGGCAGTTCCTTTGACCTCATGATTCTCATTTGCTCTGACATGCACTGTGAGCTGTAAGGTCTTATATAGACAGGTGTGTGGCTTTCCTAATCAAGTCCAATCAGTATAATCAAACACAGTTGGACTCAAATGAAGGTGTAGAACCATCTCAAGGATGATCAGAAGAAATGGACAGCACCTGAGTTAAATATATGAGTGTCACAGCAAAGGGTCTGAATACTTAGGACCATGTGATATTTCAGTTTTTCTTTTTTAATAAATCTGCAAAAATGTCAACAATTCTGTGTTTTTCTGTCAATATGGGGTGCTGTGTGTACATTAATGAGGAAAAAAAACTTAAATGATTTTAGCAAATGGCTGCAATATGACAAAGAGTGAAAATTTTAAGGGGGTCTGAATACTTTCCGTACCCACTGTATTTGAATAATAACAGAGGCTTTGAGAAACTCATATTGAACAAATCTAGCATCTCTGAATTGTCACCAACTGTAAAATAGAAATATTGACCACTGGAACGCCCTTCTAAATCAGTGAATGTCATATACAGTGGGGGAAATAAGTATTCAACAAATCAAATTTTTTTTAATTAAACACAGTTCGAATGCAGCAATTCGCATGCAGTTTTTACCAGACATTGGCATTAACTTGAGAAATATACACAGATAAAGAAATCAAAATATTACAACCCATAAAAAAGTTATATTTAATAAAGTGGCATGACACAGGAAAAAAGTGTTCAACACACTAAGAAAAAGCAAGGCAAGGCAGCAGCTTATTTCACTAAGCAGTTCTTCCTCCTACATGTGCAAATTAGATTTAGCTGGGTTATTGCATGTTGATGGGTTAGAAAAGGGCTTTGCCACCCTTACGCCCCATTCACACGGGGCGTCAGCGTCAACGCCTCTCGTTTACTTTGAATGGAGTGACGTCAAGCATTGGCGAAATGAATTGTGGGTCCGTCGCGTTGGGTCCGTTGCTCGTGGCAGAAGTTGAAAACTTTTCAAGTGCCAACGCAGGCGTCAGCCAATCAGATTGCCTTATGCAAATACCCTAGTGCAGATGCTAGCCAATCGCGTTCATGCAACACCAGAAGACTAATGTGATTGGCTGTTGTCACTATGATGGTCGCGTCAGCACCAAGCTTTAGAAACACCCTCTGTCAAGCGTTAACGCTGACACCCTATGTGAATGGGGCGTTAGGGCTTGTGCTACATAACAATGGAACTGGTTACCAATGGATTTCACAGCTCCTACATTTTCCTGAAAGCACCATTAGGGATGTTATCTTCAAGTGGAAGGAACATCAGTCCACCATCAACTGGCAATGCACAGGAGCTTTATGCAAGATTTCTGATCAGGGAGTCAGATGGTTAGTCAGGAGAGTAGCCCAAGAGCCAAGGACCACTTGGAAAATGATCCAAGCAGGTACAGTTGTCACAGAGAAAACCATAAGCAATGCCCTCCACCGCCTTAGCCTCCATGCACGCTCACTCCGGGAGGATCCATCATTGAAGAAAAGGCATGCTGAAGCTTGTTTGAAGTTTGCTGCACAACATGAATTTCTGGGAGAATGTAATCTGGTCAGACAAGACACATATTTAACTTTTTGGCAATAATACCACAAGCTATGTTGGAGGAGAAATGGCTCTAAAAATACCATGCCAACAGTGAAGGTTGGAGGTGGAAGCAACATGGTATGGGGCTGTTTCTCTTCTCATGGTATTGGCAAAATCCATATTATTGAAGGGAAGATGAATGGAACCATGTACTGGGAAATTTTTAAGATGAATCTGTTGCCATCCACCAGGATGATGAGGATGAGATATAGATGGACCTTCCAGTACAGGACAACCATCCAAAACATGACTTAAACCTAATAGAGCATTTGTGGAAGAAACTGAAAATCAGGATTCATAAGAAGTCCCCCGGAATATTCAAGATTGAAAGTTTGTTCATTTAGGAAGCGTCTTGAAGCTGTCATTGCAAATAAAGGCTTTTCAACTAAGTATTAAATAATTTTAGTTAGCGTGTTGAATACTTTTTCCCTGTGTCATTTCACTTTAGTACACATAACCTTTTTTATGGATTGTAATATTATGATTTCTTTATTTGTGTCGATTTCTTGAATTAATGCCAATGTCTAGTCAAAATTTCATGTGAATTGCTGCATTGTATCTGTGTTTAATTTAAAAAAATGTTGACTTGTTGAATACTTATTTCTCCCACTGTACCTTCTGAAATTCCAAATGTGTGTCATATGGATTTCTGTTTTATAAAGTCATATAATAATCTTTAACTTTCTTAACTGAACGACAAATTAGCCAATATTGTCAAATTTGAGATATTCAATATTTTAAAATAAACTTCATTTAAAATCTATCTGCATTTATTTTTGATCAGAATAAAGTAATATTGTGAAATATTATTATAATTTAAAATAACTATTTTCTATTTTAATATATTTTAAAATGTAATTTATTCCTGTAATGGCAAAGCTGAATTTTGAGCATCATTAATCCAGTGTCACATGATCGTTCAGAAATCATTTTTTTATTATTATCTGTGATGTACTTTTTGATAAATAAATAAAAAAGTATTTAATGTCACTTTTAATCAATTTAATGAATCCTTGCTGAAAAATTGTATTTATTTCTTCTTTAAAAAAAAAAGAATAAAAAAAAAAAAAAAAATTAAGTAAATAAATAAAATAAAAAAATAAAAAACTATTTAAAATAAAACTTACTGACCGAGGTGTAGACATTTACATTTAATCCTTATAAAAAATATCAAAATGATTTTAATCCAAAAAATATTACAGAATTAATGAGATTAGAGAAAAGGTTTGTTCAATTTGTTTGTGCGAACTGCAATTTTTGTAGTTTTGAATAACATAAATTGACCTGTAAACTTGACCTGAAATTTAACTTAACTTTTTTATGCTGTATGTATATATTTCCCCTGTATGACACAAAAGTGCAGGGAAATACTGTATGTGACACTATGCCAGTATAAAACTGAGTTCCAACACTTTTCTGCTGTCTGTCCACAGTCGTGTGCTTTGATGCTAAAATCAACTTCGACGACAATGCAGAGTTCAGACAGAAAGCTGTGTTTGCCATGGATGATACCGCAGAGAGCGACCCCTTGGAGACCGAAGCAGCCAAATATGATCTCAAGTACATCGGACTGGATGGAAACATAGCCTGTTTTGGTTTGTTTTAATATTTCATATACATTAGCTTGTTATAAAATGATAAACAATATACTAGATTAACTTAAATAATGAACAACATACCAAATGAACTTCTTCAAAGCATTCAAATTTCAAAGGTTTCAGAAACCTGTTCCACATCAAGCTCATGTCTCAAGGGATATTTCAAATCCAGCTTTAGAAATGACTTAGAAATGCTCTTCTTAGTAGTTTCCAACACGTTTATTTTGGTCTTGAGAACAGGATTTTGTGAAAGTGATACTAAATGGGCACCGATCCACTCATCATCTCCAGCAGCTCTCTAACAGCTCCATAAGGGACCTGCCTGAACCGATGGTCTCTAATTAGCAGGAATCTTCCGGAAAAACGACTCAACCAAGATGACTGTTAGTCTACACATTTAAGTGGTCCCTCATTATAAATGGCGATTCTCGCAGTAAAGCACCAAGAAAGAGCCGTATAGACAGGACGAGTGTAGAAGTGACTTTAACCTTGTCGTGTAGACACAAATGCACTCACGCACGATTTACTTGCAGTTAGTTTGCACCTTAAAAGCTTTGTAAAGCAGCAAAGTGACAGCTGTTCAACTGAATTTCACTTTATTGAGTCGAGTGTTAGAGCCTGTGCCAACAACACATTAGCTCAGCACTGAAGAACAGAATAAGGGGAGATGTGTGAAGCCAGGAGAGGTGGGATGAGCAGGAAATGGCTGAATCAGTTAACTGCCTTACAGCTCAAAGCACGACGAGATGGGACTCACCAGGCCTGCTAACAGAGATACAACAACCACTCTTGACACCCTGTATACTTTTAGTCAAACACAATTTGCTTTCCTTGGAAAGCAGTGGGCAGCAGATTTAGAGCTGAGTTGTGTTTTCATTATAGGGTTGGGATGTGAAAGTACTTTTTTTATTTGCCTTTGCCTGTGTTTTTCTTGTAAATGTGTTGTACGCTCAAGGCTGTAGTATATATAATTATGTATATAGTTCATAATTTGGAACCAACTTAAAGCCATTACCTTTAAGAAATATTTTGGTTATTTACTCGCATTACAAACTTGTATGACATTTTTCTTCCATGGAACACAATAAATTATTCTGGCTGTTATATTGAATGTTATCAAATTATATTGCGAATCATTATAGTGAATATTCTTTTCAATAGAATAAAAATGTTAAAAGTGTCATAACAGTCCATACAATAATTTTGTATGAAGAACAGATTGAAATTTTAGCTGTTGCTCACCTAAAGTCTTGACAGATGGAGTTAGCAATATCTGAATTATTATAAGCTAATTTTCAGATCCTTTCAATAAATCAGTTGATCCATTTTGTCCCAATGATTCTTTCACAGATCTCACATATCTGATTAAGGATTTCAACTCGCTAACTTAGTGACTTCTTTGGTTATAAGTGAATAATGACTTTAATTTCCATATATTCAACAGGCAAATTTATTAGATAGCCTCAGAAGACATGGAATATATATATATATATATATGTATATAGCTTTATAGATATAGTTGTATTTTTATGTTTTTACTTGTATTATATTTTTAACATGCATTTGTGTCATTTTTGAAGCCTGAAAGCTCCTGTCAATTTAAATTTGAATTGCATACAAATAAGCTACTGGCACATTATTAACACATTATTATTAACTGACTGGCACATTATCAATGCATTATTAACTCTCCTTTTGTGTTCCTTGGAAGACAGAAAGGCATACAGGTTTGGAATGATATGAGGGTGAGTAAATGATGATGAAATTATCGTTTTTAGGTTTTTAATGTCCAAAACATGATCTGTATCCATAGTTAATGGTGCTGGCCTTGCTATGGCAACATGTGACATCATCGACTTGCATGGTGGAAAGCCTGCTAACTTCCTGGACCTGGGTGGAGGTGTAAAGGAGAACCAGGTGTACGTAGCCTTCAAGCTTCTCACTGCCGATCCCAAGGTAGGAATGATTATGTCAATGTAAATACCCCTCAAACACAAAGTTACTTTACTTCCACCATAAAATATTAATATAAAGGTGTTTTGAGAGAGTGATAAGAAATAAAAAGTTAAAGTTGATCTCCTTTAACTTCATTACAGTTCTCTATTTAGTACTACTTTTCCGCTCTTTGAAGTTTCCTCCGTCTGAGATTTTGTTGACTCCTTAGGCACCTCAAAAGACTGTGGGCTTGCGGCCGAACCAAGTTCTTTTTACGATCATTACGAGCTTGCTCTCTGATCAATATCTTCGCTACAGTCACACTTTTCAGCTCTGGAATTGTAAACACACCAAGACACACACACACCTCATAACTCATCTTTTCTCAAATTCTTTTCTCAAATTCTTTTCTCCCCCAGACACACACTTGCTGTTGATTACTCGCTCTGGAGCGCAAGGTCCTTTTTCTTGCAGCTTTTACAAGCTGAGGAGTTGTTTCTCGGATGCAGAAGCAGACCGGAATTCTTGGCACGTTTCTGATAATTTGCTTGTATTTGTTGTAAGTACACATGTCAATATGCACCTGATTTGGTTTCAGCTCAGTGTGTTTGTATTCAGGATGCACACTGATATCTTCATAACAAAACTCTGTTTACAAATAATGTGAAACATGGAATTCATCTAGTATCAGGTTCATTGTGCGTCAGTAAACAGGAGTGCTGGGATTTAATAGCACACCTTGTTTTCTGAGTATTCCAGCTCGAAGCAGGAAGACTACGCACATGCAGAAAGTGATTTCATCTAAAGATTGCATCACTACATATTCATATGGTTCTTCTCAGATGGAAGATGCACTTTTGTTTTTCTAAGAATTTATCAGCAAAGAAAAACAGAGAAGAAAACCATGAAACCTTTTCCAGAAAGTCAAACATTTATTGTTGCCAAACAACGCAAAAAAGGGATCTACAGTATGTTATAATATTTTGCCCACTGACTCATACTTGATTAGATAAAGAAGATTTTGTTGAATATTTCTCTCCAAGGTGAAGTATGTAGTTCCAGTCTCCTCCTGTCTCTCCAGCCCTCCTGTCATCAACGGGGTACCTGAAATTTTCTAAACTCTATTGGGGTAGATTGGCGGCCCTCCCCTACAGTCACACAGTTCCCATTCTGGAGCCTCTATGTACAGCGATTTGCATTTCACAGAAGCGTTCAGAGCCACCCAGGCTCTGTGGAAGGAATATTAATGGGAATGTTAATTATTGGATCCTCTGGCGGGATGAAATACGCAGTTGGCTTCTTTCATCCATCGGAAATGTTTGATTTGTTTGTTTTAGGAATCTTTTCCCTTGCCTCCTTCAAATCATTCTCCTTAATTTAACAATCGATTGGTGGTAGGAATCAACCCACCCATGCCTGTCAAAAAATTATCCAAAAGTGAAATAGAAAACCAATAACTCAAATGGTCCTAAAACCGACACCTGAGGAACACCGCTCTTCTAGTATAGTAATGTATTCATTTAAGGAATGTTCTGGGGTTCAATGCAAATTAAGCTTAGCTGACAGCAGTTGTCGCATAATGTCGATTACCACAGAAAATAATTTTGACTTGTCCATAATTTTTTTAAGCAAAAATACATTTAAAGTGAAAGCAACCAGACCAGGTAATACACATTAAAATACACTGTTTATAGCCACTAAAATAAATATTATGCATGTTAACATGAGACAAACAGAATTACCTACTAAACTGTGTAAAGTAGTAGCTAACTTTAAACTTTGTCATGACAACATAGTGCCTATAATACACATGCCAAATGTTTGTGCAAGGTTTCCAAGAAGAGATGTTATATAACTTCCTTATTTACATAAAGTAACTTGAAGATATTACATTGGTGATGAATTACTAATTTATCCACCTCCACCGTTGTCCTACTGTAAAAGTGATTGAGAAAATTTGAAAGAGATTTTCTGTTAAACCCTCCAGATGCAACAATTTTCAGTTTTGAACTAAGGGTTGAGTGAAATTATATCTGAAGTAATCAACATTATTCAAAATAATATTGTCAAGCTTACATTTTTTTTAACCCAGAACAAGTACAGATAGAATTGCGGTGTTGTACAATTGAGGACTTTGAAAGTGAAGCATGGAGTTGAAGCTGATGTACGTTCAAGCTGCCTTTCTTTAGAGTCTGCAGGGAGGCAAATGCATTGTATATACACTCTAAAAAATGCTGGGTTGTTTTAACCCAACTTTGGGTCAAATATGGACTAACCCAACTTTTGGGTTAAACATGTAATTTAAAATTTTAACCCAACAGTTGGGTTAGTCCATATTTTACCCAAAGTTGGGTTAAAACAACCCAGCATTTTTTAGAGTGTATGCACTCCTTTGATATACAAGATTTATTTTATTCTCAGAGAGGCACTCTTGAACTGTCTCCCACTTTCACTTTCTTAGTTTCTCTCCTTTTTTTCATTGGACATGGGGCATTTGCTCCCTGAGTCTTTTTTTCTTCCCATCCCAACCCTATTAAAACAGCCACTCTTTTTATATTTATAATGCTTGGGTTGATAAATGAAGGCAGTATCATAAAAGTATGTGCAGAGTGGACACATTTTGTAACACCTGGATTACATAAGACAGTCTCTGTCAATAGGCATTGTTCAGGCTCTTTATTTACGACACTGAAATGCAGAAAAAGAGCGATGGAGAACTCTTTACTTTTAAACTTTGTCAACACGCACCATACACGGTGCATAGAAAAGTTTTATCACAGAACATGAATAAAACATTACACATTTGCCACGGTTTTAGAAAAAGCCGAAAGCACCTGCTAGTTGAATCTAAATGGAAACGGCTAAACAACGCCGTTATCCCACCCCCTCCCTCCGAAGTTAGATGTGGGAGACGTGGATGGATAGATGTTTTGCTCATGGCTATTTGGTCCCTATGCAGTGTAGTTTGGAGTAGGAGTGAATTAGGGCTGTGCTCCCAGGCACTGGGTGTTTGATGAAGGTGCTTGGCTGGGTAATTGTGACCGGTGGGGTTTTCACCTGCCCTGGGTAGAGAAGGCTGCAGCACCGGGTTGTGTGATGTGTATTTGAGGTTAACTAGGAGCCAGCTCTGGGGCTTGATACTATTTGCTGGCCACTGCAAGGTAAATCTGAAACAAATGCTGTTGTGTGTCAGTTCTGTTGGTCGAACCGCTGTGAACATGAATGTTAGAGGTCCCATACAGCACATTAATGTGTTATCTTGGAGATAACAACTCACTCATTCTGTCCTGGAGATGACACATGTTTGCTAAGGGCATCATGGGATTGAATATGCCTCTCTAACACTGAAATGGTGCTGGTGCTTGACCGGGGAATCTGCCAGCCTCTCTCAGAACTGGTCCATGTTGAAAGACAGACAATGATGTAACTGACTGCATGAAGTGTCAAGTCAAGTCAAGTCACCTTTATTTATATAGCGCTTTTAACAATACAGATTGTGACAAAGCAACTGAACAGCATTAATTAGGAAAATAGTGTCAATAATGCAAAATGACAATAGTAAACACTCATTTTTCAGTTAAAGACAGTTCATCATTGAATTCAGTGATGTCAACATCCAGCTCAGTTTAAATAATATCTTTGCAATTATGTCAACGATAACGCTGGAAATGAAGTGTCCCCAACTAAGCAAGCCAGAGGCGACAGCGGCAAGGAACCAAAACTCCATCGGTGACAGAATGGAGAAAAAACCTTGGGAGAAACCAGGCTCAGTCGGGGGGCCAGTTCTCCTCTGACCAGACGAACCAGCAGAACGGAAAAATCAATATAAGACGTAATAAAACAGACGATGAATAATATTAACAGCAATTATTATATGATGCAATCAAACTTATAGCAAAATGTGGTAGTTCTGTATGTTGTTTCAGGGTTGGCATCATCTGAGGTCCTCTGAGGGGTTGCATCTTCTCTTCTCTCTGTGTAAATAATACGATAGGGGATATATTCACACGTTATAAAACTGAAAAAGGATGGTGTATAAAATTGATTTTAAGATAAAAAATTAGACGACAAAGAATTAACTTGACGGAGCTCAAACTCAAACCACACGGCAGCAACAAACAGGAAGTGAGTGAATCACATTTTTTATTTATTTATTTATTTTTGGCAAAGTTGAAAGGATTGAACTTGTAACATGCATCATCCTGTGATGCAAGATGCTGTATGTCGCAAGTTTGATACTTTTAAACTTGTAAATGTAATTTTTTTACAAGTTTGAAATTATTGGAAATATTTTTTAACTTCCAAAATAGTTTAATTTTGCTTCTGTATGCCACTACATCAAAAGTTATAACAAATTAAATGTATGATATTTGAATTTGATATTTATGATATTTGTAAATCATAACATTTTATTTTAGACCAACATGAAAAATAAAGTTGAGTTTATGAGTTATGAGATTTAAGAACATACACATTATATATAGTATTACAAATAAAATTAATTAACAAATAATATTTGTAGGGATGTTACGATGCACCGCATGCCGGTTGAAAGTCAAATTAGAAATTATACAATCTAGTTTAAGTTAAAAACTGCTGGGTGGAAAAGAGCACAGGCAAAGCCTTGGAATGTTTATATGAAGAAATTTCTTTTGATTGTATTACTTTTTAAATTTGATTTGGGGTTTGTTTTAAAATGTCATATTTCAATTTCAAAGAGAAATGTTCGGCATTTTGTCCAAGCAATAATAAAAGGACATCTTTTCATTTATAATTTGTCTTAAATCTCATTCTGTTATTAAAAAAAAAGTGAGTAAATCATATTGTGAAATAAGTATCATGAATCGTATCGCATCGTGAGTTAAGTGAATCATTACATCCTTAAATATTTGTAAATAGTTTTATTTTAAATGAGAAATAAAACAGGGTTTGAGAATGCATGGTTTATATATGATTTAAAATCTTAAATGATTCCCTTTGAGCTAAATTATTGACCTGTTTCCCTTACAACTGTATATAGT